GAGAAATACTTCCCTTAATGATTGTGCAAATAAACAGAATTCTTGTCACCTATTTTAAACATTGTAAGTTTCACAGGAATTAGGTACTTTTCAAATCTTGCTCTTGATTAGAACTCACAAAGTTAATTTAAAGAAATAATCATGATTAATCCAAACTAGAGTAGACTCATTGGAACTAGCAGGACTTACACAGTGATTGGCAAGTTCCACTCATTTTAAGGTGTCTACTGTAGATGAGACTAATATTGGATTTAGCACTAAAGCTGCCACCATTTGCTTCTTTAAAATAACTTTCTGAGTTCTCTACAGGAATAAGCTCCAACTAACACAAACGAACTTACAATAAGCATATTGAGGAATTTTATACATAAAAATGCAGAAAGAATTTATCCCATTTAATTCATCCAATGTTTATCTATAATGGTGGTAGAGAATGAAAATAAAATTAAATTGTTCTGTAATACAACTCTACAACTGTCTTTAAACATGATATAACACAATATAAGGCACAATGGCTGAAATCCTGTTGTGCAATTATGCAAACAACATAGCTTTTAGTCACAAATTGCCATAATTTAAACAATCTCCATAGAGATTATCTGTTGCATTCTTAGTCATGGGACTCAGTGTGCAACAGATAATGTCTACAGAATTTTCTTATATTACAGCAATTTGCATTTAAAAGTTACACTTTTTGTGTCACTGTACATCAGGATTTCAGCCAATAATTAGTCGGTTGCAGCAAAACCAACAGCAGCATTATGCAGACTTAACATACTTTATTTGGCATATGATTTTGTAGGCTGCATGTGATGAAGTCTCCTATAGATCTTAAAAAGCTTATCACATATAAAATGTGTTAGTCTTTAAGGTGTCAGTAGACTGTTTAAAAAGTAACTTTACACACCAATTTTCCTCTCTATTTTTAAAGTCACAGCAATCAAGAAAGTAATTTTGAAAAAATCATGACATGACATAATTTGTAATCTGTCACTTCTAGACCTGACAACTGTCAAGAGTATCATGAGGCATCTTGTGGAATGCAAGTCTTCTTTTCAAATCATATTTATTTACTTATTTCATTTTATTTATTTGCACGCCACCTTTCTCCCTGCAGCTTAAATTGCTGCAGGTTAAATCACTGGGCTGTCGTTCGAAAGGTTGGCATTTTGAATCCGCCTGACGGTGTGAGCTCCCGTTGCTTGTCCCAGCTCCTGCCAATCTGAAATGCCAGTAGATGAATTTGTACCACCTTGATGGGACATTAATAGTGTTCCATGTCTATTCATGCCAGCCACATGACCACAGAAATTGTCTACAGACAAACACCGGTTCTTTGACTTACAAATGGGGATGACCACTGGCCTCTAGAGTCGGACACAACTGGACTCAATTATCAAGAGGAACCTTTACCTCTTTACCTTTCTCCCCACAGGGGACTTAAGGCAGTTCACAGTTGATTAAACTACATAATAATGAGCATTAAAAAACCCCATAAGATACAGCATTTAAAAAAATGAGCATGTGACCATTTATAAAACTAGAAGTAAAGATACTTCTAAAACACTTTAACAACATTAAAAAAAAATCTCCAAATCAGTGGTTCCCAAGCTTTTTTCAAGTTGCACTCCCCTTTTATAATACCCAAGTAACCTGCAAGCCCGCCTGCAATATTTGCATAAAAAGGCATTTTTAATAGCATAAAGTTATCCCTTTACAGAAAGTAAAGGCTTATTCCCCGCCCCCTCCCAAGGACTGTTTCTCATACACACACGTTCATGCTAACTTTAATAGCCAGCTCCAAAAGGTCAAGAAAGAAATTACTTAACATAGGGCTACTCATATATAAGGAGACCCAGAACCCTCCAGAAAAAAACTTTGTGACTCCCTTGTGAGTCATGGCCCCCAGGTTGTGAAACACTGCTCTAAATCTTAAAAGCCTGCCTGAAAAGGATGGTCTTTGCTTGACGATGGCAGAGAGTTTACGCCAGTCAAATCTGATCTGTTTAATTTTTCTTGTGCTGCCAGACGATCAGATCTCAAAAATATAAATTAAGAGTGGGAGCCTGTACTCCTTGCTATGCCAGAGAAGCTGAAGGAGGTTTTTTTTAGACGCTAACATAACATAGCCTGAATAGTCTGTTAGGTCTGTATGCACCTATCTCTCTCTGTGTGAGCAAGTGAAATTATGCCTGGCAGCTCCAGACTGCTCAAGTAATAATGTTTTTTCCAAGTTCCTTTCACATACAGATAATGTCAAATAAGGCTTATTGAAAACATCAACTATGGTTAACTACAGATGCTCTTAATGCCTTTAAAGATAGATAGAGTAGCATTCTTTCGATACAAAATCATCAAGTCCCCCCATACTCTATACACCAAATCTGGTTATCTTGTCTACTGCATTCTAATTTTTGCAACAGTGATCTCTCACTTGTTTTTAACCTTTAAATAAGCCCTAGGATCTAGGACTTAATTGGAGACTACTGCTCACACCCATCTACGTCACATTCAGCCCAATCAATATTTGACACCTTTAGGATCTCCTGTTTCTATTGTTGATTGGAGAAGGCCTACTTGTAACCACAGATATACTGATCCAGATCTCCACTCTGTTTCTATTATATATACTTAAATCATAAAATAATTGTGTTGGAAGGGATCTATAAGGCCATTGAGGCTCAATGCAGGGGGTTGGACTTGAAACGCAACTACAGAACCAAATAACCAATAATGCAGTGTCAGTATTTCTCATATTTGTTCATCTTTCAATGTGATACATGCTGTCTTTTGCCACCAGGAACCCATAACATTCTACATAGGACAAAAAGGCAAGTCACTATGCAAAATAGGCCATAACATCAGAAAGAGTAATATTAATTAAATACTAAGAGTGGTCATACCGACCAGATAGGCGGGATATAAACAGAATGAATAAATAAAGTAAATAAAATAAATAACAGTCTTCCATGACATTTGTCTTTGAATGCAAGGTAGCCCAAGAAAAACATCCAATACAGGGTGTTAAAGGAAAAGAGCTGAACAAGAATATATTTAAAAGTTCAACTCCATCTTCGGGGGCTTGCACAGGGACAAAATATTTATAATCTCATTACATATATTAATTAGTGGACCTATGCAAGCTTGTATGCTTTGCTGTCCAACATTTGTTTGTTTTGTGACAACCATTCACAACTGTTCAATTTTCTCTGCCTGTACTTTTTTGCAATTCAGTTCTCTTTGGCCCTTTTGGTTTCAATCTCGCAGAGATTAGCAGAGGTCTAGAGGCAAAAGTCATCTCTTAAACCTAGATAAACACTTTTCATCACCATATGTGTTGTTCTCCTAATCTATGCTTAGATAGATTACATAACTACTGAATGACCCTTATTGCTAAGAATGTAGCTACAATGACTTCATCACCATGCAGACACCATACTTTTACATTTCTATTACATTTCACATTTCTATCCTCTCACTTGTGTATAAATGTGCCCCTAATAAGTGTCACACCTAATGAAGTGAGCTGTACTCCACAAAATATTATGCCAAATAACACTACTCTCTTTGAAGTATCACAAATCTCTATGCTGTTTTTTAGAAACAAATTCGCCATAGAAGGATTCTGAGTATGTTTGGAATCCTGCTGAAACCTAGATGGGCATTACTGAATTCTAGTTTATTACCCGTATTTCCCATGTATAAGACACCCTCCCCCCACTTTTCTAATCCAAAATTGTTCTAGTTTATTACCTGTATTTCCCATGTATAAGACTTTTCTAATCTAAAATTAAGAGATCTAAGTGGGGCTTAGCAAGCGTAGGGAGAAAGGGATAAAAATGCTGCAGAATCACTTTGATCCCTGCTTTCCCCTCCACTTGTTTTTGTTCTCTCCTCAGCTTAGTTCCGTGTATAAGACAACCCTCAATTTTTAGTCTAAAGATTTTAGACAAAAGTATAGTCTTATACACGGAAAAATACAGTAATAATTGGCTTGAGAGTTTACTCATGCACATATGACAATAGGTAGATGCCACGATCCCCACATGGCCCCTGCTTGTTTCACCAAACTAAGAGCTCACACTACGTGTCTTTCAGCTGCCACCAGTTGATTACATCAACATTATCTATTATTAATGAATGAGGCCCAGGCCATATGTCATTTTTAAATGAACCAAATAGAAATTGTTTATTGTTACAGATGTAGATATTTCAAGCAATGTTTTTAACTCTTGACAAAGATCTTCCTTCATCCACTCTCAACCACCACTCTCCCGCCCAAATTCCAAAACTCTCTCTAGACTCTCAATTTCCTCAACTCACTCCCTATCTAAACTCCTCCTCCTCCTTCTGAGTCTCTTATATCTCATGGCTCTGCCCCTCCAGCACTCCCATTGGTCTATGCAGATAGCACAGGAATATTCAGGACTAGGGCAGACACCACAGTACACATAATCTCAAAGGCAGAGTTGTGAGAGAACACAAAGTTATGAAGAAAGCATTTGAGCAACTTTAGTATTATTTATAGCATGATTCCCTTTGTGGTGTAGTGGATAAAGTGACAGATGGAGACTCAGGTGAACAGGGTTCAAATCCCTGCTTGGTCATGCAAACTCACGGGGAGGGGAGAGGAACTGGTAAAACCACTCCTTATGTACAGTATCTCACTCACCTTGAAAGTCCTATTAGGGTTGCTAAAAGTCACTTCTGACTTGATGGCACAGAACACACACACATACACAGCTTTTCAGGCTATAAAATAATCCAAGTTTATGCACCAACCTCCATTGCTGAGGAGACTGAAATTGAACAATTTTATGAAGATTTACAACACCTTCTAGAACTGACACCGAAGAAGGATGTTCTTCTCATTCTGGGGGACTGGAATGCTAAGGTAGGGAGTCAAGAGATAAAAGGAACAAGTCTTTAAATGAGCTCAGAATAGTTAAAAAGTTAATCAGGAAACTACCCAGCCACACAGAAAGTATACTGAAGCTTACCTCTGGGAGACATGAATTCCAGGTTGTTGCATCATCACTGCTTGTACTGATACTGATGTTACAATTGTCAATCTGAGATGCACTTAATCCATGAGATGGCCCATTATCTTCCAGTTCTTCATTGTGCTGCCTTTTCATACTGGCCAACATTTGATATTCAGAAGCAGTCATGTTGCTTGCTTGGTAGTTTCTCCAGTCATATTCCTAGGAATTACAATGAAATGCAATATGGGGGATAGTGAAGAAGAACATAGAAAACTTATATGTACCCCTTTCTAAAATAGCTGGAAAGATGTGATATTTCTTACATGGAAAAGCCTAGTGACTATGTATGCCTGCTTCAGCTATGGACTGTTATTGTTCCTATACGAGTGATGGTGAATCTTTCTGAGCCCGAGTGCCCAAATAGCAACACAAAATCAACTTATTTATTTCAAAGTGTCAATAGTGCAATTAAAACCCGAATGCTGAGGTTTTAGTTTAGAAAAAACAACTGCACCTTCACTGCAAGGGTTAAATGCTTGTCTATCTCTCTCCCCCCCCAAGGGGCAGTATTAACAAATAAATACCTACTGATCCTCCAATCCCCCATTGGGCTAGAATGGTCGCCATTGCACCCCTCCGCTGGACCACTGCACCAGCAGAGGGGAGTGCTGAAATCCAGGACTGGAGGATGGGTAAGTATTTCTCTATGGCGACTTATGGCTTGTGTGCCCACAGAGAGGATTCTGTGTGCCAGCTGTGGTGCGCGTGCCATAGGTTCACCATCATTGTCCTATACCTTCCCTTCCCTATCTCTGTATCAGTTTGCAAGTGGGTTGCAATATTATACAAGTCCGCACAAGCTTTGTATGTGAAACCAAAACAATAACCTCAACCCCAGTATAATGATTGCTTTTAATCTTTAAGTGAGGCAGTGGAAGACAGGCGGGCCTGGCATGCTCTGGTCCATGGGGTCACGAAGAGTCGAACACAACTAAACGACTAAACAACAACAATACCCTTACATATTTTATAGTTCATTAAAAAAACATTCTCTAATCAGTGTTTTACCTTCACATTAAAAAAACTGTGAATACTTCTGTAAGTATTACAACTGCTTCAACAAATTCCACATTAATAGGTGTGTTATGTAAACATTTGCATCAATGCTCCTAATAATGGCGATAAAATATGCATATATGTAGTTAAAATGCACAAAAGCAAAGCAAAACTATAAAGAGGCTGACATAAAGCTGCCCCTCCCCCTGTATTCAACTGACATTTTACTGTCGATAGAACTGTAAACACCATAAAACACTGCTTAGCCCATTCCCTAAATCAATGCAGGAGGATGGTCAACATTGACAAAAGACAGTGAATGATCAAATAAAATTAACAGAGGCACACACCCTCTTTTTCTCTCTCTCAGTGTCATTGAAAGCATGCCCAAGGGGCAATTTCATTTCACTATAAGGCCATAATCCAAAATGGAACGATCATAGTATCCTGCAAAAATACTTGTATTGACTTGTTACCTTGCCCATGATTTATTGTTTATTTAAAATATTTATAGCCCACATTACTCCTCAAGTGGACCCAAAAGAGAGGTGATCATCACCCATGCTAGAAAGAAATGTATTCTGGTGATGAATATGGGAATACTTGTTAATCCCTAGGATGTCCTGTTAAATCAACAATACTAGGCAAAGATGGACAAGTAGTCTGACTGAAGAAACTCTACAACATGGGGTGGGGGGCAGAGAGAGAACATCTTATGTTCATAAACTATACAGGGAAAGAAAACATACATTGGCTGCAGTCCTGTTGGTTAGTTATGCAAAAAGTTTACATTTAGAGCAAAGTTAAGAAATCTCTGTAGGAATTATGTGTTATGTGCAAAGTTGGAACACTCAATATGTAACAAATGCCTCTGGAGGATGATTTTTTAGGTGGGGGGCAGAGAGAGAACATCTTATGTTCATAAACTATACAGGGAAAGAAAACATACATTGGCTGCAGTCCTGTTGGTTAGTTATGCAAAAAGTTTACATTTAGAGCAAAGTTAAGAAATCTCTGTAGGAATTATGTGTTATGTGCAAAGTTGGAACACTCAATATGTAACAAATGCCTCTGGAGGATGATTTTTTATTATAGTTCTGACTTAACGGTGACCCATTCCAGGGTTTTCTAGCTGCAGAATACTCTGGTTTGCCATCCCCTTCTTCTGGGGCTGCTTTGAGACTGTGCAGCTCGCCCAGGGCTATGTGGGCTCTTCCGGGAGTCCCCGCGGGGAATTGAACTCCCAACGCCTGGCTCTGCAGGCAGAGACCCAACTCCCTGAGTGATGTTTCATCATGTCCTTTCCAACAGGGCATCGGCGGTGTAGTTTCTTCATTTATCTGCCTTGACTCCTCTTTTTTTCATCCCGACAGCATGCGATTGCGACCCAGTGGGCTCCTTGGATGGCGGGGTGTGCGACAGTCACACCGACGTGATGCTGGGCATGATCGCTGGGCAGTGTCGCTGCAAAGAGAACGTCAAAGGCGTGCGTTGTGACAGCTGCAAAGAAGCCTTCTATGGACTGAGTCGCAATGACCCTCTGGGGTGCCAGCGTTAGTATGGGTGGCTGAGGTGACTTTGTGGGTGCAGGTGTGGAATCAGACCATGTTTGTACGCGTACAGAGTTGTGGGCAAGGGTGGCTCAAAGGGTGCAGAATCTCAGGGTCAGGGCAGATACGGAATTACTAAACTTAACGGAAGATGGAGCCAGTTTTGAAGCACCCTCAGTGCTCAGTACAAATATGTATTTTCATCCAGATTAAGGCTGTGACTACACTACCAAATACTGTAGTACTGAATTTGATGTGGAAGTAGAATGGATAAATTCAGAGGGTTTTTTTAAAAAAACTAATCACATGACACAAAGGCCAGTGTAAAATGGAGTGATTCAAACTGTGTTGCCCCTGTGTGATCAGTTGTTTAACTCTGCAAAAGAATATTGCGGGAGGGGGGGAGGCTAGGTCTGTGAGTGGTATTCTGGTGGCATATTAACTGGGTATAATGTTTTGGACAGTGGGAAAACCCAGCCCCATAATCTTTTTCCCTGTCACCCCTAAGTATTTTTTATTATTATTATTATTATTATTATTATTATTATTATTATTATTATTATTATTATTATTATTATTATTATTATTATTATTATTATTATTAAACAAACAAACACACAAGAATCAAAGGAATACAAATTCCGGGGGCAGGAAAAGAAAAACAAGACAAAACAAAACATAAACATAGGGAAGTGTTTACAGTAATACAATATCTAATATAATCTTGACTCCATGGCTGTGTTACAACACTAAAATCCATAACATATATTATATTCTCTACTTATGTTTGTTTCCGGGCCCAATCATAAAACATTTTCCAGCTTTCTTTAATTTATATTCTCAGGTTCTCAAGTAATGTCTCTGACAAACTGTCCATTTCTGCAATATTTAATAATTTTTTAAACAGCTTCTCTGTCTTTGGCTTTTTCTGATTTTTCCAGCCGGCGCTTGAGAAACTGCAGGAGAGACCTCGCCCGTGGCTGATTCGACGCGCCCGCCGGGGGCCTATGGGGAAAAATCGCAAAGTGATTTTTCCCCATAGGGAACATCGCAATGTGGTCGCTTTTGTGATTGCAAAAAACGAATCGCTATGCGGATTCGTCGTTAAACGGGGCACTCGTTATGCGAGGCACCACTGTATGTATTTCATTGAACAATCTGAGAATTCACCGTTCAGTAAAGATCCTCCATAGCTCCGCCATTTTCGCCACCTCGGTAAGCGATGGGCAGCTTCGGAGCTCTCTGAAGCCAAAAAGGTGCGAGGCACCACTGTATGTGTAACAACATATATTAAATTTTTTATCAACAATTTCTGGCATTATATTCAGCAAAAATATTTCTGGTTTATAAGCTATTTTCTGTTGTATAATTTCTTGTGTAATATCTTTTATCTGTCTCCAAAATCTTTTTTCTCTATGGCATGTCCACCACATATGAAAAAAAATCTCAGGTTGCTGAGAACACTTCCAATATAAGTTGCTAACCCCCCCAACGTCATTTTTGCCAGTTTAACAGGTGTGAAATGCTATCTATAAAACATCTTTAAAACATTTTCTCTCAAGTTTACTGGTTTAATCCATCTAAAGTTGTCATTCCACATTCGAGTCCAATAATCTATATATTGTAACCATATTTTGTGCCAAAATCATCACTGCTTTTATCCTTTCATCTTCTAAATTATATTTTTACTAAAAATATACTTTTTTGTATAATCTTACCACTAGTATAAATCCATAATTTATCAATCTGAAACTTTCCCTCATATTTTTTTTCAACCTTGATTCTAATTTTAGCATCACCCACCACTTCCTTCAGCTCCTGTACATTTTTAATTGTTGCTCATTATTTAAGAGCTCTTTATACGTATGTCTCCATTCTTTCGAAATTAAAGAATGTTGTGTAAAAGCTTCCAAAGGTGTTACCCATATAGGAATTTTTTTAGACATTTGCCCCTGAAATTTTTGCCAGACCTGATACAATGCTTTTCTTATAATATGGTCCGAAAAAGGTTTTTGGTCTTTGCTCTTGCCATACCATATATATGCATGCCATCGTAATCTTAAGTCATGTCTTTCCAATTTTATGTTTGGTCCTCCAAAGTAATCCATTCCTTCAGTTAGTTCAAGCCACAGACCTTATAATATAGTAGACAATTTCTTAACTTATGGCAATTCAGTGCTAAAAGTTATGCTGTTTGACTCCCAATGCAATTTCCTCATAACAGGAGTCTGCCCTATCATGAATTCACCCAGATGACAAATGTCTTCATTTAATCGACACCTTGTATTTTTATTCTCATGAAAGTAAAAACAATTAACATTATATAAATGATACTGTATATCCAATTTAGCTAGACAGAATTAAGGATCTTGTGACCACTCATTCAAAATACCAGGTGGACTAAAATCCAGTTATCTTCCACAGCACCCAATTATTGAAATTATCCCCCTCCCTTTTTGCATTAAACCTCACTGCATATTAAGTCTCAACACTGTTGTAGTCTTTCAATATGCTGACAATTTTTAATGTTGTCTGATACCATTAGATTGAAATACACTGGTGCCTCGACTTACAAACGTCCCAACTTACAACCAATTTGAGTTATGACCAGCT